TTTAGGCCCATGGGTTCAAGAGTACTACTACACTGATCAAGGCATCTGAAAATGGTGGTTTCTTCACAGTTGATGTAGAAGTTTTCAACTCAGTATCTTATGAAAAGCAAAGTCTCGATATTCAAGTTGCACAGATGCCGTGCGATCCACCAGTAATGTGGATTGAGGATAACAGTACAATATTTACAGCACCAGTTGAGGTGACCTTAAAAATATTTTTCTTTCTTTCATACAGTAAAAAATAAGCATGATATAGATTAAGAAATTTCAAAAAAGAAATAAGAGTCAAACAACCAACAATAGATAAAAATACTTTCTTCACTCTTACTGAATGGATTTATTTTGCCTGAAGTGGGCCTAAGGCCAAAACATTGCAAAGTAAATCCATTTAAGAAAAGTGTAAAAACCATTTTTATCAACTTCTTTTCACTGTTTAATTTTATTAATGAATTTCTTTGATTTATGAGAACAAAAGCCAGAATTAGTAAAATATAGATTAAAAATTGTTTTCAATATTACACATTTATTAACTTTTAAGTTCTCTAATGGTTTGGAAGTTAGTTGTGTCTGTTTTTGTGTTTTCCTTATGTTTTGAAAGCAAGATTTGTTGAATTGTATATAATTGTGTTATATGAAGTACGTATGTGGGTATTTACTTGATATCAGGAAAGAACATGAAATGGTGTTACTATGAAGTACGTTTGTGGAGGTATTGAATCAAAGTAACTTCATAATATTTGTGTCATTATAATCTCACTGTTTTCAAATTATTATGAGGAAATAAAAGCCATGCATTTTTTTAATTATGCATGTTTTTGTCACCCATGAACTCTATTTCTTCTGATTTCAAACTAAAACAAAACATATGGCTGTGAATAGTACTTGATTCAATTATGAAAATATTAATGGGACAGAGTTATTGTTTCCTTTCTATTTTCTTTTATCATTGTATTTACTCTAAATCTAAAAGTTTGTTAGTTATTTTGAAGAGGAATTCAGAGAAAGTCTTTATTTGTTAATTGTGTAATTTCTTGTTCCATTTGAAACAATGTTAAACATTAATCCATCTTATAGAAAATGTTAAACATTAATCCATCTTGTAGAAAATGCGAGGAAAGAACTTTCGACTAGTGGGCAACGTTAAACTTGTCTGTAACCTAACTATGCAAGCTGAAAGAGAGTGGAAAGCTCAAGAAATTGATAGTTCGGGAAATCCTCTTGGTCACGTGATCGACCTTTCTGACCTGTTATCGTGGAACATTTCATCTCTGCTTGTCCCACCTCGACGCTTCAAGTTGGGCTTATATAAATTTATGCTTCGTGTAAGGATGATTGGTAAGGATTTGAGTTGTCTTGTTTTCAGATGTTAGGGAACCAATTGTTATATTACCCTGAAAGCTTGAAGTATGTCTTGCCATTGTTTATATATTTCACAGAAACTACCTGAAAAAGATACTGGTATGCAAATAAAAAGTCAGTTTTTTTACATCTCTGTCATAACATAATTACTGTTCTATTTTGTGTGATAGAAACAGGAAATATCCATCACTTAATTTAGAAGTTTTTTTCTATACAGGGCTGTGATGAACAATAAATAAAGGTATGTTCAATTCTAGAAAATAACATTAAATCATGTTAAAACATAATAGTACCTTTACATTAAATCATGTTAAAACATGGTGGTACCTTTATATTAAATCATGTTAAATCATGGTAATACCTTTATCTTAACTTATGTTAAAACATGGTAGTACCTTTACATTAAATCATGTTAAAACATGGTAGTACCTTTACATTAAATC